GCCGCGCTCTGCCCCGGCCCCGCCGGGTGCCCAGGCAGCCCCCAGGAACCCGGGGGGCTCTGCTGTGGCCGGCGCCAGGCGCGATGCTGTGCCGTGGCGCTCTCCCTTCCCCACTGCTGCTTCGTGCTCTGCTCCGCTTGTCGACCCCCGGAGTCTGGGGGCTGTACCCGGAGCTCTGGCTGTTCTCTCACCACAGACAAAGCTTCACTACCCAAAACTTTTCTTAAGCTTATTAGAATATTAAGCATGTGCTTAAGGAAAACTCCTGTGGTTTTAGGACATTAGAAACACTTAAGCCTGTGAAGCCAGCAGTCGCCTTTACGGATGGGGACAGTTGCCGTCTGTGACACCCGTGGCACAGGTTGAGGAGCAGTTTGCAGGAGCAGGCCTCAGTGCTGGCGGTTGTGCTGCACTGGCTGGGGAAACCACACCATACCCCGTGTCCCCTGCCTTGACTCTCAGGGAAACCGCTCCTTCAGGTGCCTTTGTGCAAAATATAGAACAACAGTATTTAGAAACCCCTGCTGAACTGCCTTCCTATTCCCCGCACAACTCTGCGGCCCAGCAGAACTCCCTGGTAGTCTGGTCACAGTTCCCTCCCTGAGAAGGTGATAAAGCCAGACCTGCAAGCACAAAAGAGAAGAGGGGACTTTCTGATTGTCAACTGATTATCTCAGTGTTCACAGTATTTGCTTGGTATCAGAGTGTAGATAGTCTCATCCTTCTGTATCTGCTCTATTCCAGTGTAAGGCTCTCCTGGTGGTCCTGCCTGCTCTGTAGGCAGCACCCAAACACCCACGGATTCAGACAGTGAGACTCGGTCACCCTGTGAGGTGCTTCTGCCCTCACTCCAGTGAACGTTCAGTGTCTCTTCAGGGTTTCCTATGGCTCAGTTTGTGCAGCGCTCCCCTCGTGGCACTGTGGAGGTTTCACCCTTAGGGCCCGGTTCCTGGGCATGCCTTTTACTGGAGAAGCTTAAGCACCTGCCTCAAAGTTGTGGGTTCCAGTTAAGCTGAGACATCCAAGGTTTAGCTGTCAACTGTTGCTGTATCACTGAACAGCAGAGCATCAGGTGGTTCAAGATCCTATCCACAATCATTCAGACCTCTCCCTTGGCCTGTTACTGAGCTAAAGCTTCCAGTTACCTGACAAAGCTCAAGTTCTTCAAGTCTCACCTGGATCTGTGCTGTAAATAGATGAGAACGTGTTCCCGCTGTATCATTCCCTTGAATTGGTTATAGCTGTAGCCTTATAACTGATGGCAGGGAGGAAGACTTCTTTCTCAACTTTATACACCCCTGAGACTGCTCTAAGTTTATTCTGACAATGATCAACAATTTCATCTTTCATTTTTTATGTTCCCATTTTTAAATTTCTTTGTATGGTCTTTACAGTGGGAATGCATTCCCTCTCTAAATCCTAAAACTAAATTAGGGAAGAGCCCATATTTGTACAGATTTAGAGTTTTCTTGTAATTCCTTAAATGTAAATGAGTAAGACCTTACTTTTGGAGAGGAGAGGAGTTCATAGGTATTCTGTGATTAGACCACCGTACAATCAGGCTTCCAGACTTTTTCAGCAGCCAACTTCCTGACAATTACAGATTATAGCACATGACACTATAATCAACATCATAGTCAACAACTACTTGTAATTAAATAGGCATGAGAGAGAAGAATCCTAGGAGAGGAGAATCTGTGTGCTGCTGTTTTTAAAAGGCACAGTCTAATGGCACAGTGGTAAGAGCTGCTAGGGAGGACAAGTTTGGAGGCAAGTGGTCTAGGAAGCTGACCTCCCAGCAGCGGCTCGCCAGAGCTGAGTTATAGCTGAGCTTTGGATCCAGCTGTGCTGTGACTGTGGCTCTGTTTCTTCTATGCCATGCTGAGCTTTTTTGGTGCAAGAAAAGCTTCGCTACTGCTCTCCTCTACTAAGGCACATGATATATATAGATGGGAGTCATACTAAATAAATACAGATTATCTGTACTTGGTGAAGTAGCTAAAGTGAAATCTCTGTTAACTGGAGCTCTCCAGTGCTCTGCAGTACTTCTGGGGATTCCTACTTGTAAATAACTGGAAAAACAAACTATACAAAAATAAACCAAAATATCTACCTCCTGATGACAGATTACTCTTACTTGGATATTCCGGAGTGCCTCTTACACTGGACGTGTGTAAACTGTGGGTTTGATGTGCAACTAATTAGCTGTGCGTTTGGCCAGCCAAGAGTGTGTGTGTGCATGCACACACGCATGCAACAGGGATTTGGGATTGTGCTCTGAAATGTGGGAAAATGAAGAGAGCTTTCATTCACTCCTTCGCTGCCAGGCAGGAAGTCAGGCTGTTGGATTGTTGTATGTTTCTGCAATAACTCAGTAATAATAGGCCAGATCAATCTGATATGTCTGTGTTTTTACAGCACCCAATAAATATTCCCACCTAACTCTCTCACGATTTCTTTTTTTTTTTTTTTCCTGAAAGCTGCAGGACAAGAGAAGAAAGCACTCTTATATTTTCAGTGACCTCTGAGAATCTCTAATATTTCAGGAAGGGTCTGCTTGAAACAATGATTGATATTAGAGATAATGTGTGTTTGATTTGCCTTAGGAGCAGGAAATCCTTTATAAAGCTCAGTTCCTAGAGGTTGTCTGGCCTAAAGTACGTGAATAGCTGCTTCTGGTATGCAAAGAATTACCTATATGTGTCTGAAGTATGACTTGGTACCATGTTGAATCAGGACCTTACTTTCCTAGGAAGCAATTTTAGCCAAGAGCATTTTACTTCAAATCCAGGCATACTCACGTGAATACTTCCATCCCCCATCCTGCAACGGCTGTGAAGAGCCTTGGGCCCAGATCCCTGGCTGGGTTCATGGCACAGCCACTGTTCATTCCCAAGGAGCAAGTAAGAACAATTATAAGAAGTCCTACTGCAATTGGCTCCAGGCCCTTTGGTACGCTGTTATTTCTGGTGTCAAAAATAGCAAATATAGCCAGAAGAAGAACAGCTGTTGACATCACCTGGCCAATGCAAAGAAAAGAATATTGAATAAATATGTGCAAATTCCTTTCAATAATGAAATGAGGGGCTATGGCAGCTCTGTGGATTGTGATGGCTTAGAGCTGGTATTTAGATTTATCCCACTATACAGAGTAGCAGAATTGGGAACCCAGTGGCTCTGTACCCCACAGTAATGAGAAGTTTTGATGTTTTTGCTGAAAGAAAAAGACAAGAAATGTGCTGAGGACATTTGAAAGAAAACGTTCTGCAACAACCTGGTATGGAAAGAATAGAGCATTATTCGCACAGTCTCCTGCATGAGGCCTGATGCGTTGTTTCCACATCTTTTCCTGTCAGTGTAACAGTTCCATTTACTTGATTTTTGGTAGTTTTGCTATGGTAATACAATCAGTTACCTTGATACAAAAGTGGTTTAGGTGACTGTAGCTTATTCTGCTAAATTAGACTAAATTCACACCTCTTTATCCAGGTATTGCATATCATAAGGAAAAAAAATCAAAACTGAGCAGTTAGAAAAGTAGAAAATAACTAAATTAAGGTTGCATGTGTAACTCTCAAGTGAACTCTGTATTGCATACGTGAATTGAGCTGATGAAGGAAATTTTCTTGGAATTACTTTGATGGAAGTGCTGCTCTGCTTAAATCGAATGCTTTGTAAATGTCAGTTTTGCTAATAATTAACTTTGGGAAACTAGACAGAAGTTTCAGGGATGTCAAAACATTCAGTTTCTGTACTGATTTAAAGGAGTTTAAGTTTGGAGTTTTTAAAAATTATTTTTATTTCATCTGTTTTTAATTTTGTTCTAAAACATCCATGGGTAAAAAGATCTTATGGAAAAGTCCACTGACTGATCCAAAGATCAGAATTGTCTTTCTTACAAAATTTAAAAAAATGTTTTGGGTTTTTTTGAAGCTAGATTGTATAGTCTTCAAGTCCTTTATGTAAGGAATTCCTGTGCTCCAGCTATCCCTAGTTTTTCATAACTTACTTATGCAGTATTAGTTTCAGGTATGCCTGAAGATGACAGGTGAATTGATTAGAAGTAGAAGATATGAAAGTTCATTTTTCACTGCTGGATAAGTGGGATTAGAGGACACAGACTGGAAATAAAGCAGAGATTTTTTCACATTCAGTCATTTAAAAATAACAGATAATACAAATCTATTTGCAAAGAGAAGATTGGAGAGGAAGCTTATGGTAGCAGAAAACTCGATATTCAAGATGTGTTAAACTGGCTGCTTAAGCATTACCTAAGGAATAATAGGTTCACAAAATGGGCTGGATTTTTATGTACATAGCTCTTCTGAAGTTTATGGAGAAGCACTGATTTATGCTGGGGAAAACCTTTTACATATATGGCATCAAATACATGTAGAGTGCAACAATTAATATGATGTATGTGAAAAGAACAACTTGAAATTATCTTGCTTGTAAAATATGACTAAAATGTGACCCCCTCAAACAGCACTGCATTCTCATTGCGTCGTTCTCAGTGATGTATGACCAAACCAGTGAGATTCAGCATACCCGTTGGAGACCTATGTATTCTGTTTACTGCTTCGTTTCACAGTTTTCAGTACATTTAATTTGTGGAATCACAACAGCAAATGCTCTTACCTGATCTGCAAATCCATTTATGAGGGACAGATATGGAGCTGGGTACGTTGCAAAGATATGTGCTGTTGCATTAGGTCCTGTAACCTCCAGTGTTCCGTTGCTGTACTCCATAAAGGCATCTGTAGGAAACAGCCATTACCCGGTGGCACTTTCCTACAAGCACTGGGTTTTCTAGGACTAGAATACATGTGATAGGTCTGCACTTCACAGTCTCAACTGAAACCAATTGTTTTTTCTGGGAGCACAGTTAACAGATTTGAGGTGATTCACTAACCATACCCTCCTGCCTCAACTCTCCTCCTGTGCCTTGAAGTATTTCTTTTATGTATCACATCTTTCAGAATGGGGCTGGTTTTTCCCCTGCTCATTGCTCCAAACTCAGTGCCAAGGAGCATTTTCTGATTCTGAAGGCAGTTGTATTATTCTGTAAGAGGTGTCACATTTGGCGTGATGCCCTGTAGAATGCAGAGCGTCCTGATTGTGCTCTTCAGGTTCACAGTCACCAGGAATTACTGCTATTCCAGTTGTCAGTTGTGCAATGACTTCTGGAAATGAACTCTCCTGAGAGACCTCCTCTTCTAAAGGAGTTTGAATCTTTCACTCTGCATGGGCTTTACACCCAACTGCTACGCTAGTCATCCGAGATACGAGGGGAGAGACTAACCACAAAACTTCACTTCTTGGTATATTTAAGTTAGTGTATTTTTATATATATTGTAAAGGTTTATGTATATTGTAAATACATGTATATTTATGTTAGTATATTTAAAGCATATTCTAAATAGTATAATATGACTTCTGTGTCAGAATAATTTGCTGCCTTGGCAAGCCCTGAAATGATATAAAGAGGAAGGCACTAAGATGAAGCACTCAAAAATCTGCATAGACAGACAAGAATAACAAATGCTATGACTATTTTACTAGTGGATCCAGTGATGAGGTGATAGCTGTGAGTAAAGAAACAGCTCCCCATCACCCCTGGAAGTCATGGTGAGAATCATTAGCTTCTCCCAAAGCTAGCAGACAAATCTGTTTCTCCTTGCCCATGTTTTTTCTACCTTTGCTTAAGGCCATGACATGCATGCAGAGAATATTTCATTCCCTACTTTGCAGTGTTGGATTATTTTGTTGAATTTAACTATTAAAAAAAAAAAGGTAAGGAAAATAAAATTTCTCAGCTGTGAATTACTTTGTACACCTTTAGAAAGGCCTCGTGTTCAGCAGCCTAGCATATATATTCCCTCAGTCCTTCAGGGACCTCCCTGGCAATGAAAGCACCTAGCTCAGATCTGGGTGTATGGGGAGGAGGGAGGTGTTGAGCTCCTGTGTCTGTTTTCCTACCAGTGAGTTTTGAGCAGACCTCAGTGAGTACAGGACACTCCTGCAAGTTGAAAGAAGGAAAAAGAGGTTTGGGAATTAGTAAGAAGAGGAGGGTAAAGTACCTGAGCAGAGATAGGCACTCCTGAATAACAGGAAGAAGTCTCTAAGCCTAACCCCAGCCCTGAGTTCCCCCTCTCGGCTCCCTGTCCCGCCGCTGCCCTTCGGCAGAGCAGAGCGAGCCCACCCCCAGGCCTGTGCGTGCTGAGGTGCTGCTGCGCGCTGGCCGCGGCACTGATCCTGGCTGGCTTGAGGAGGATTTAGATTCAGATGGAAATCCTGTTCTGGAATCCCACTGTCTCCAAATTCTAGTGCTAACCTTAAAACAAACAACTCCTCCCCACCCCAAACAAATCCCACCAAATCCAGAACAGTTACGACAGCTCCTGAAGATTTTTCTGTTTGTGATTACCACTGGTATTGAGAACCTTGCTGATCTATAACAGGCATTTCCATCTTTATTTTCTCTGGTGTACCTAGACCCACCCCTGTCTGCAGGCATATAATGCCTGTAAGAGAGGCTTTGGAGGAGATGGGCTGGATTGGTAGAAGCCCAGTTTTGGAGTAGGTGACTGAAACAAATTTCAGCTCTGGCTGAATGGATTCCTCAAGTCAGAGAGTCTGTTTCTAAGTTTTTTCCTTTTGTGGCACACCGTGTAAGAAAAATATGCCTCAAGGATAGGATAGGGGTGACTTTTAAAAAAAATATTTTTTTCCCCCTTCCAATATGTGATTCCTTTATCACTCTACCTGGACTTCATTGCTTTGGAGAGCTGCCTCTTTAGGGTGGTCTGAGGTTTAGTCAGGAAGGACCTGATCTCATATCCTGTAATCTCAGTGAACGATGTTGGTGATACTTGCCTACAGGCACTTGGATCACATCTTTAATGTTTCTAATTTGCTTGGAAGATGAATAGCCCTATATCCTGGCTATTAAGTAATTTAAAATCCTTACTGAGAAATACATGATCTCAGAGTATCTGATTTCCCATGAATAATTTTTCTAAACTTCAGAACATTTCCTAGAGTATTAGTGTTTCAGAAATGTTGTAGGATACCTGGAATGCTTGAGGCTTTTTATTTCCCCCCTTCAAACTCTTTATGCTTCTTTCTTTCTCCTTTATGGCTTCAGCTTCAGTCCTGCCATTAGCCCTGTGTGAACACAGTCCTCTGCCTGCTTGGCATTCACTGAAAAATTGGGGCCTTAGAGCCTGCCTAACCTTTCGTTTGTCCTGTGAGCATGTCTAAGGTGTACTCACCATGATAAATCCCAAAGACAGCTGCTGCTCCAACAAATGCTCCCAGGAGTTGTGCTAATATGTAAATTGGTAATTTGGTCCATTTTAATCTTCCAGTCACGCACATAGCTAGTGAAACGGCTGGGTTTATGTGACCACCTGAAAAATAAATCACAAAATAAGTCATATGGATGACTTGGATACATGAGAATGGATGAGGATTTGTAAAAATGTGGGCACTTTTGAGTATGAGACTAGTACATGCTTTTCTAGATGTTATTTTGCAATTAAATGCTGACTGCAATTAAACTGAAACAAATTGGATTAAATTAGAGGGAGGAGAGGGGCAAGCCACCAAGATCCCGCTTCCCTCTTGATGTTTGCAGACTGTGCTATTTGTCAGACTGCTGTCCTGCAGTACATCATCTATAGATCTATATACAGCTTTTCTAGATAAAAGTCTGAATCTGCCCTAACAGCTCTGATGAGAAGGTCCATCATTCTGCATGTATTCTTTCACCTCAAGGGCTTTGGCTTTTTATTTTTAAGGGAGGATTGGAGCAGCAGAGCATTCCTTCAGTTTAGTAGGCATGCATTAAGATTAAGGACTATTGCTGGCTTGATCATGTATCTTGAAGCAGATTTGGAGTATCCTGGATTTAAGTCATATTTACGTCCCCATCTTCAACCTGGGGTTACTTAGGAACTCAGTTTTCATGAACATAAAATAAAATAATGTTAGGGCTGTCCAGCTTTCATGCTGACTGTTGGTGAGCTATGCCTAGGTGGGATCTGGGGACAGCAGTGCATAGTTCTTCATCACTCATTTTCATCAAGCTATTACACCCTCCAAGAAAGGTCCATGATAAGGAAATTGATAAAGTAGCTGTGCTGAAACAGAGTTCTATTTCCTGTGGAATTTCCTTCCTTTGTATTTAGGAGTAGCTAGACCTGAACTCACACACAGAAAAGATTTCAACAACATTGGAATTCTTTGTGGCAATTTTTATTTCTAAAATATATTTGCTATGTCATGTGCTAGTCACTTCCCTCTACATCTTTCTTCAACATGGAAGAAGTGTTGAATGCTTTTTGAAAACTTCATTTTTTACAAATATGTAATTGATAATTGGATAAATAAACAGATGAAATGAAATTTACTCCACAGTAAAAATACAGACATAGCAGATTCATTGCTTACCTTCCAGGTAAAGTCTCATTTCAGCCTGTATGGTTATCAGAAAAAAATGGCCTTTGTCTTTAATAAAATAACTAAAAGATCATGACCTTTGTCTGTCAAAGGCTAGTGATGGAGAAAGAGCCTTTATGTACAGTTTCTGTGTTTGTTTGCACTTCAGGTCAGTGAGTCATTATCTTATGAAATCCAGGCACCTTTGATACATAATGAACTGACAAACACAGATAACAAGATGGATAAAAACTTCTTTGTATCATTTCCAAAACTCTGACCTGGTAGCACCAGTCTTGAATTAATTTTGAATTCCTCACTGTGTTTCAAATTTTTCAGCACAGAGCAAATAGATGGATGGCACCTTACTTAACAGCCCTTCATGTGAATTTTGATAAATTGTTGTCTTGTCTTTTGTTCTTTACTCTGGTTGGAATGAATAATTTTCCTTTCTTTCAGCACCTGATATTGTTCCCCACCTGTATATAATACAGGGTGATTATGATGGCCAGGACAAGTCATGATAGTATTAGAGATGTCTGATTAGCATTAAATCTGGAAAGGAAAAGGCTAGTTGAAGACTCTTGTGCTGACATAGGGGAGTTAAAAGATTCTTGGTTCCTGTGTCACTGATAGTTTACTGGTTAACAACAACAAAAAGTCTGCTTTGGACAGTGTGTTCTCCATTCTTTTGTAGTTGCAGTGATCACAGTCCTGAGTTTGTTCAGAATGTTAAGTTGGAAAAATGGTGGGAAATTATCTAGACATTGGGGAAATTTAGATGGAGGAAAAGCAAAAGCAGAAATTTTCCTAGATGAAAGAGCTTACATTCACCAAGTGTGCAGACTACAGTTTTATGTCACCATGAATTCAGAGTTTCATAAAGAACTGATGCAAAACATTTTCTTGGTACTTAAACATGAGAATTCGTGGCCAAAGAGCCCCAGAATTTGCTAACAAATCCTATATAGGAATTGATGTTCCAAAGTGTTCACTAGTAATCGTATGTTGGGTAGCCACAGCCTATTGAAATATCTGTTCCCATTCTTTCACAGACAAAACGCACTGCAGGCAGAATCCTTTGTCATGGGAAAAACACAGGAAGCACAATACTGCAACATCTGCAACTGCTCTGCCCTGCTGGGATTGAACTCTAATCTTCTGTATAATGGAGATTAATATCCCTTAAAGATACCAGTGTAGGACAGGTTAGTGTCTTTAGAGGTTTTTTCATGATACTGCATTGGAAGAGTTTACCTGCCTACATGTGAACCAAAAGCTGTAGTTTAAAGTTGTTCACATAATAGGAATGTACTGCTGAATTAACTTTGTGTGACACCATTGTGCTGTGTCTCAGTGGCAGTGACAAGGCTGCCTGTTTCGCTGTGCTTTGAACGCTGTCTAATGCGAACACAGAAACCTGCTCGTGCATGGTGTCTCTGTGAAAGAGTTTGTAGAAGAGAAGAGAAACAACCACAGTAATTTCTGCTACAGCAACTATTTATAACAGCCCAGTTATACCTGCCCAGCTCGGCTTTACCCCCTTTATGAAGGGTAAGAAATGCCTTTGTGGGAGCTGGAGTACACTCGCACCATTTCCTTTAAGAGGGTAATATAAACTCCCATACAAAGTGGAGTATTGTGTATTATAATACACAACGCTGTGTATTATTACAACCCATCATTTTCTATTTTAGAGAGAGTATTTAAATGTTAAAAGCAGTTACACTAGTGTTTCTGATATTAATTTGGCCAAACTAATAGTGGGAATAGGAGACGAAGCACCATCCAATATGGCACATGTAGACACCGATTAGTTAGCCCAGCTACAGACAAAAGAAAGATTCCTGACCAATATATATTGAGGAAAAGTTATAGCAGAAACCAAGGGGCAATGACAGTACATTGACAGTGTATCACAGAATGTATCTCTAGTACTGAAACTTTTTGTTGTTTCTGCTTTCTACGATCTGCTGCTTCTGCAAATAAGCAGACAGGAGCAGACTTGCTACTGCTTGTCATAGGACATGAAGAGATAAACTGCACTTTGTAAGGTGAACCCTGCTCATCGTGGGTCATTCCACCTTCTGCCTAGCTGGCAATCATTTCAGCTGGTGACTGCTGGATTCTGTAAGCCTTTCATGGTTATTTCCTTAAACACGGTGCATGCGCCTGTCCAGGATCATCTCTACTGACAGAATTCTCAAAGAAAAACCAATCAGATTTCTGGTTTGCACTGACCACTTTCCATAAAAGCCAGAGGTCTGCCAAGGTTTGCACACTGTAGTTCAGGTCAAAATTTGGTGGAAGATTTTGTCAAACACAAAGAATAGAAGGAGACAAGAACACAAAAGATTTACTAGAGAAATTCTGATCCAGACTCTGCTGTAATGGTGCTTGCAAGATACACAGTGGTTTATACCATAAAATTGAAGTAATTTAATAAGAGAGCCTTAAAATCATGGCAATAAATATTGTCTAAGGAAAAAAGGTCACTTACCAGAAACCCCTCCAGACACGTACACTGCCATGGTGACTGCTATTGCAAATCCAACTGACACTGTCATGGGGCCACCATGGGCTCCTCGGCTGAGGACAGCCTGCCCCACACACCCACATCCAAGGGCCTGTGGTTTGAGAGAGAAACGTGAAACCATGAGTGTGTCTGTCAAATGTTACTGGTTAGTTTGCAACTCCTGCTGCTGTCCAGGTATAGCTGAAAATGTCGTTAAGCATTGAAAACAGTGCTAGAATTTGAGATTAGTGGCATGTGTGCCATTGCTGCCTTTGCTGCAATAAACATTTGCTCTTTATTTTCCCCTGCTCTGTGACCAGGAAGAATGTCTGCTTGCTCCCCAGAAAACAGTTTTCGAGTACAGTGGTGGGATGCACATCAGAACTTAGAGCCTAAAGATCCCACAGCCTCTACAACAAATTTCTGCATCTGAAAGCGAAGAGAGAATTCATTCTGTGGTAAGTTTTCAGTTCCAGATTGTTGTTATAAGCAATGAAAATAATTACTATAAAAGTTATGATAGTTCAAAAAGTTTTTAATGTTTAACGTTGAAACTCTGGATGAGACAACTTTCTGGAGATTAGAGTGTGTGTTACTGTTATGCTGCCTTGATATCATATAATGGTCTATCAAAATATTTCACTGGCTCTCCAGCTTGAACAATTAACTGAAGTGGGAATACCTGAATAATTCACACTGGAGTATTCTCAGTGGATTTAAACTAGCCTCCATTTTGTATTGGTTCCCCTCACAGTGAAGTTCAGCAACACATTTAAATGTGTGCTTAAGATGATGTTTATTCAGCCCTAAAGCTTCCACTTCGCTTCAAGCATATGTTTAGGTCTGATTAAAGTTGGTGGGAAAGATTTTTCAAAGGTACAAAAGGACTTTAGTTTAAGACAGACTAGCTGATCCATTTCTGCCAGAAATCAATTTCTGCCTTTGAAAATCTCAATTTTAAATACCTGCCTAAGTGCTTTCCTGAATAAGGACCCAACGCACTATGGGAGAGATCAATTAACATCTACAGCCTGAAAACTTTTGCTTCTCTGCAACTGCAACATTTCTGGGATGTGACTAGATTTATCTTGAGCAACCTTAATTACTTGGATGTTAAATTGGATATATACAGATATATAAAAAATATATATATTCCTCCTTTGATAGTACATGGGAATGTGATTTTTTTTTTTTTCTTCCTACAAAACAATTCCATCTTGGCCAATGCAGTTGCTTTGATTAATCTCCTTGCTTTGCTTTTGTGTTCTGCCATAGCATGTGTCACCAATGACTGTATTGCAAATATTCTTCCTAACTATGCATATTTAAATGTGTAAAATTTAGTTCTTTTAGAAATGCTTATTTTTAGTTGCAAGGCAGTTGCATTGAGAAACAGCAAAATAACGGGAAAATCTCCTGCATTAGAAATGTGCCAAAAATATTTGGTGATTGAGGTTTAACAAGAAAGTCCTGCTAGAATAGATGCAATTTAAACAGGCAAGATCATACTTTTGTTTCCATTGTTTCCCCAAGGGTTTTAGCTAATACCAAAATGTGACAGAAGAGCTCTCAATAAAATTATGCTTTGCAACGCAGACAGAGTTTCTGTTATAAAAGTGCCCTGAGACTGTGTCATATACCCAGGTGCAGGTCTTGCCTTGAGGTTATAATCGTGCAAGCAAAGAAAACACTGTCTGGTGCCAGAGTGTTACAGCTGTCCGGTTGGGTAAGGGTAGGGTGGTGTTCGATAGCAGTAGGTTATTGGGCTGGATAATTGAAGGTTACGAGACCTATTCCAAGGCGCAGTCAGCTGCTGCGCAATGGATGATATATGCTTAGGTTGGGCTTTCTCTCGCTGCTGTTAGTATCACATACCTAGCCATTCATGGCAAGCCCAAATGCACAGACAGATATAAACCAAAACAAAATGCTTTTTTAGTTGTTCGCAGCCAAAATAACATTTTTTAAAAACTTCATATGAGACAATTCTACTCATCTTGTATTTATATGTTTAATTAATGTGGCAAGAATGGGTATGCTGGAATTTATAAAGTTTAAAATTAGGGCACTCATCTAGAGGAGGTGGAGTTAGCATGCGCTGGCCTTCCTTTTCCAGACTTCTCAAAGGGAGTATTCCAGAAATTGCACCGAGCAAGATTTCACAAAAGATACAGAGCAAGTTCAGTAGGTTGGTGTGGGGCGCCGTGTACTCTGGGGTGCAGTCTGCCTTCAGGCAAGAAGCTAGATCTACAAGTGTGCACTTGTGTCCTGAGTTGGCATAGACAGAGTTGTGCAGATTCAAAGGAAAGGCAATTCTTTTGAAAATATTACCCCTTTCTGTAAGGATGATGACAAAAAGAGGAGCAGGGGAGATGGGTACAGAAAGGACAAGGGACAGTAACCACACCTGTGTATATCAACTACAAATTCACAGGAGAGGAGGCGGCTGTGGCCTCCCTTCCCTGATTACCAGAACTGAGGAGGATCATACAGAAACAACTGTGAGTCCTCTTGCATAACAGCTTCTGCTCTCCACGTCATAGTGAAATACACAACTCCAGACACTCCATTTTGTGTAACCGGTCTGCAAAGAATGAGGCTTGCAAGCCAGCCAGAACACAGCTGCACTTGCTTGGTGGCGATGGTGAAAGGCTCCCTGCTCCCGTGTGATGAATGGACACTACTGCAGGCCCATTTGGTGTTTTCTCAGACCTGCTGTAGCTAGGTTGACATAACTGGAAACTGTCACCTAATCATGTAATTACATGAGCAGCAATCTAATACCCTGTGAATCCTTGCTTGGCTGAGTTAAGACCAACTAGATCATCAAGTTGTAACTAAATATTCTAAATTCCTAGGCTAAGCTCAACCATCAGCTGCACCCACACAAACTCATTGATTGAAGCACATGGAGTTGAGGGGGGTTTCATTTACAGAGTATAGCCAGATCTCTTTATCTTGTCTTATCTTATGTTACCGGGTTTTCATCTTTGCAGTTGTCTAAAGCCTGATCTGCTTAAATTTACTGGAGTAGTTTCAGTACTCACTTGGAATAGCTGTCTGCACGTTCTCCGCCAAAAAAACTTGCTTCATAGACATTACATCCTTCTCCTTGTCTTGGGTAACAAGGCTAATGTTAGGAAACAGAAACAACTGGTCTCCAGTGAACATAGTGTCTTGCTACTCCCTGGAAGCTTGCAGAACTTTATCCCACTCATCAGAGAGAATAAAGAGAATTTACCTCTATCTGTGCTATTTTCAGGTTCTTTACAAACGCTTGTAATAGCATTTTTCACTGTAAATGGGATTTCTTGACAGATCTGAATCTAATATTTTAGGGAATATGGGTTTTTTTCCTACATGACCTGTAAAGCTTTAGACATCTCAAAGCAGAATGTGTGTATCAAAAAAGCCCCTTCTTATTGAGCAGACGTAGTGGTAGCGTGCATTCAGCTCCCCATCAGTACGGTAACGTTGAAGAAGCGGCCAAGTCTCCTGCGTTTTGGTGGCGTGGAGACGATGGTGTGTGCTTTGAGCTCCGTCCACCGGTGAGGTGCCACGGCTGTCCCCGCAGGCAGAGGGTGGCCTCAGCGGCCACCGCTGGTGATGCTCTACACGGACACGGGGCTGCGGTGTGCTACGGGGAGTACACTCAGCAGTTACAAACCCCACGTTTTAATGATGAGCTGTACACTTTCAATCGGGAAACACTAGAAAAATAGTTCAGAATTTCTATCTTAGTCATTTTTCAGGCCAGAACCGTACTGCAACAACCACAGGCAGTTCTGGAGAGTCTCCGGGGATCCTCCACAGTTCAGTTTCTGTAGGGATGCCTTGCTCGGGTGCGGAGCAGCCCGCCCCTTTCCCCTGCGGCCCTGCGAGGGGGGAGCAGCCCTGGGGGGGAGCCCGGCCCGCTCCCGCAGAGCCTCTGGGGCTGGGGAAGGGCTTGCGCTGGCCCTTCGGTGCCGGCAGGGACCTCTTGGACCAAAGCTGCCGTGGAAACGTTAGAGGGTTGGTGCTGGTTTCCTTTTCTTGTACAGCTCCCCCTGCCCCCGTTAATGTTTCCAGGGACAGTTGGTTTAGGTGTCCCTTATAGAAGTAGTGAATAAACTTGTCAGATCGGAGGCCAATTCCTAAATTGATGATGTCCTTCTAAAGGCCTTTAGTTTGGAGCATATTTTAGAACTCACTTTCATTTCCAATCTCTTTACTTACAAAGCAAGTCTGCTTAAGGATTTATCTACTGCATTTCATAATAAGGTGCTTTCTGATGGATGACAACCCTCCATACAGAGGCGCGTGTTTGCTGCATTTCTGTACTACGCAGGGCCTTAATTCAGACTGGGCTCCTAAGCATTCTTTCAATAGGGACGGTAATGCTAACAGCAGCAGAAAGAGAGACACATCAGATCTACTAAAATTCAGGGCATTAGCTCTGCAAAAATTCAAGTTGCAGGAGACCCCTCTTCTTCCATGGAAGAACAATCTTAATCTAATTTCTTGTTTAATATTTGCTATTTTTTGTTAAATCATATAGTACTTAAAATTTTTAAGGTGAGGACAAATACAGCTTACCAGTCCAGTATTTTTTAAATACTTTAAGAGCACACGGCTCTTATTTTATCATTAATCAAATGTTTTGATGGGGGTGGGGAGGATTTCTCCACACTATGGTTTAATCAAACTTGGAGTAATAAAAGAAATCACTATATCCGTTCTCCTGATGATCTCCTGGGACACAACCAATATCCTCTTGGGTTCAAATGGATTTCCCTTTATTTTTTTCAGGCTTGCTATCTAATAAAATAAGGTCTTGGAAAAAAAAAAACCCATATCATTTAGTTAATTAAATAGTATAGACATAAGCCTTAAATGATTGCCATTTTGAAACTACTTTTTTAATGACAGAAAGCATTACTACTTGGAGACATAAATGTAAATTTAATAAGGCTTTGAATGAATTGTGTATATAAAGCTTTTAAAACATAGAAAGATTTGGTTCAGATTGCTCTGTGGGAAAAAATACAGTGAAAATATTGAGGGACAGACTATGCTGTGTTATATAAACTGATGCTTTTAAATTTTTATTATTGCTTTTGCACATGCAATAGG